TGCCCATCGGAGCCCTTGAGCCAGGCGGCCGCGGAGAGAGCGGGTTCCCACCACACCTCTGTGTCCGGATAAAGGTCGTCCTGGAAGAATTCTTTCTGTGGAGAGAAACCGGTGGCCAGAAAGGGCCCCCCCTCAGGCACCCGTGGGCCAGCGCGGCGTCCCGTAGACACTGGGGCGCAGCACGCTTGTGGGAACCACCCGGGGCTGTAGGCTGCGCTCGTGTGACGCTTTCGGGCACCCTTGTGGCTTGTAAAGATGGAGGTCCCTGAACTCAGGACTTACCTACATGGATTGACAAGGATCTCCTGCCCCCCCACACCCACCCCCAGGCCTCTGGCTAAGAAGATTTTCTCCCATCATCCTCTGCTTTCTGTCACTCTTTAAAAAGTGGAGATATTGGCCAGAATTGAACTCAAGAGCTCTCTTGTGCAAAATATAATCTTAAACAAAAACTTCTGATCCGCAACTTGACTTAAGAGGAAGATCCATCCTGACCAGATGAAGGCTCAGCCTGACTGTTAACTGCCTCTCAGTTTGCAGAGATACAGACCAGATTGTGACCTCATTCTGACATCGGAGGATTCTGACCAATGGCTAGGCTGGTTAGGAGAATTGCTGCAGTCAAAGAAAGCAACTTTTTCAAGCTCTGCTTGGCATGTGATGAGCTTGCCTAAGGTGACACAGCGGGCTCTTCCTCCCTGAAAGCACACTGGGAAATCCAACTCCCACCTCTGGCTCCACAACCAGCCTTCGCAACAATACCCAAAGAAACCTTTAGCGTGACCCAAAAGCCTGCTTCCAGTAAAAAAGCAAAGACACAGTAGAAGAACGGCCACGGCCACTTGGGCAAAGGCTGCCTTCTGCAGCCTCGTCCCCCCCCCACACCCCCATCCGCGCAGTCTCTTTCCTTGCAGCTCAGCCCACCCCAGCCTCGCCGGGGAACGGGAGGGCCTGGCCGGTCACCTACCTTGACCCTGGGCAGGCGGAAAGCCACGGGTTCCACGGAGCTCTGCCGGAGGCGCAGGGCCCGGGCGATCTCCACCTCTCGCACGTCACACTCCGTCTTGGGCAGGAACTGGAAGCCCTGCAGAGATGAAGAGGGGCAGCCCCCCCCCATGGTGAAGGCCTCCCGGTTCATGGCCTGGCAGTCGGCGCCACTACATCGCCCCCGCCGTGCCCAAGAGAAGCCACGAGGGGGCGGGTGAGAAACACAGCTTGTCGAAGGAAAGGAAACCATCGGGGAAAGAACAGTCCCGGGCCTGGAAAACTTATTTCCCCCACTTTTTTTAATGCAGCTGTTAAAAACCTCCCCCTCTAACTTAAGAACAGCAGACGGGGGGGGGGATGTGGTACTCCTGGGAGAGACCTTTAAGAAAAAGGGGGCCCTCCCTGCGCTCTGGGGGGCCTAGAGAGGGCCAAGAACAGAGGAGAGGAAGCCACACGTCCCCTGAGCAAGCTCACAGGGGAGCCAGAGAGGGGCCAGCCCCCTAAGTCATCCGCCGCCCCCCCACTCCTGCCCCTGCTTTCTTGCAAAGACGGGCACCCACCCACCCACCACTGGCTGTCTCCCAAGAGGGCATGGAAAAAGACCCACATCCTGTTTCTGACCCAGCGCTTCCAGGAAGCCCTGAGATGGGGGCTGAGTCGTCTTGAGGCTTTGGTGGGGGAGGGTTTTCCTCCTCTCTTCAGTTTAAGCTTGAATTTTGCTATGAGAAGCCCAGCCACCGTTCCCCTCAGTCCTGCCCCCCCCACCCAATCTCACCTGCCTCCTCACCTTGTGGGGGTCGCTGGAGAAGAAGCTGTTGCACTCCAGGAAGAAGGGCGCCTCCGGGACCACCTCGTACATAAACAGCCTCGTGTCGCCCTAAACGGGGGCCAGAGAAAAAAGGGTGGTGGGCTTCACCTCGGGTGGGCACTAGAAAAACAGCCACGCCCTGGCTGCCTGTTGGCCCCCCCTGCCTGAAATCTCCTGCCTGGCCTCTGGGGGAGGGGTGGGCTTGACCGTGGTGCCAAATCCTGCTAACCAAGGACTGGTAGGAAGACGGCAATGCCAGGAACGCCATGAAGGAAAAGATGAGGCTGTCTGCAAGTGAACTTTGCATGCTTCCTCATTTAGACATCCTGGGGGAAAGGGGTCAACTCTGCAGCAGTGAGTGATGGAACTCTTTCCTGCCCCCTAGAAGTCCTGCAGGCATTGGCAATTCAGAAAAGTGGGGAACGTGTGGCTGAATCTCTCCACCCGTGGCTCCCTGCTTCCCTCCATCTGGGTCTGCTCAGCCTTCCTGGTCCTTCGGGCCATTTCTGGTGACTCAAATCCCTTCCCACCTTCGGGAGGTGGCCCAGAGGGTGCTAAGATGGCATATTAGCCAGCTCAGTGGCCAGCAGGGCACTGGCTCACCTTGCCTGAGAGGAAGACCATGCTCGTGTCTGGGTCATAGAAGGGGATCAAGGTGGATGGAGAGACATCAAGGTTGACGACTGCCACAGGCCCATCGGTCACAGACTTTGCCTGGTACAGGGAAAGCTGGCGTTCGCTCTGACTGCAAAGAGAGAAGGAAAGGATGGCCGGCACAGGGATGAAGCCGGGAAAAGTTCCTTTTTTTGAATTATAACTTTGCACAGAGGGGAGGCTGTCTTTGCCCTGGTCTCTGTTACATCCAAAAAAAGTGGGCTGAAGTCCCTGTCAGCTCGCATGTAATACAACTCGGCAGTCTTAGAAGGGCCTTTGTCGCCTGTGTCTCCATGTGAGCTTTGCAGTCTCTGCTTTTTAGCTTGCTTGTTGGGTTAAGCTAGTTCAATTTCTTATCAGACTTATCTGATGTTTACGTAGGTATTTATTACAGGTCAGTGTAACCCTTATTTATTATTGTTTCGCTTGTTTTTGAACTGCTGCCCTTCTTTCTACCTTAATTTCTACCTTAACTTCTGGGACTTCCTCCAGACTATTTATGGGGCAGCAGAACACGAGCAAAGAGACCAAACACAGAGGTAACAACAGCCACAGGCCAGGCAGGCCGAGTCGCCTGCATGCAGCACAGTGAGAAGGTGTGTGTGTGTGTGTGTGTGTGCATGTGTTTAAGAGGGACGCCTTACCTGTCAAAGCCAGACACTAGCAGGTATTGGCCTCCACACACCCAGACGATGCGGGCCCCCCGGCTTCCTTCGGGGCCTGGGCCTTCCTGTTCCAGAGGAGAGAAAGGGAGATGCCTCAGAGAGCTTTCCATGGGTGCCCTCCAGCCTTCTGCCCCACAGCCCCTCTGAGCCCTCAGGCTGGGGACCACAAGCCAGAAATGCAGGCCAGAGAGGAGCCTCTCCTTCTCTCCCCCTGCCCCCCACCCCTGCTACCTGTCCCTTGACCCTATATTATGCCCTCCTGCTCCTCCCAAATCGGGACGCCATGTCTGTTGGGTGTGGACGGATGAGTGTGGAACACCCTCCCACCTCCAACCCCCAGCTGGCCTTGGCCCTTTGGGGGTTTTGCCCTCCATGGAAACATGAACATCCAGTCCCCTCATCCCCGCCGTTGATGGGAAGAGAAGATTCTCAGAAGAGAAGACGGACAGGTGGCACGACGGCCATCTTCCCATATTTGAAGGGCTGCCCCACGGAAGGCGGAGCACGCCTGCTTCTTGCTGCTCCGGAGGGCGAGATCCAGACCAATGGATTCTTTTTTTTTTAAATTAATACAAATTAAACCTAGTACTACACAAAAAACCCTATATAAAATACAAAACAATACAATACAATAAAATACAACTACCCATGTGCTCCCATCACTTCCAGGACTAGCATTACACTTTGTTCCATCCATTTTCATTCCAAAATGTCATTGTTTCTTCCCTCGGTGTAAACCCCCTCCCTCTCCGAAATACATGTTCCAGAAATACATCCCATACAGACCAATGGATTCTAATTGCCAGAAAGGTGATCAGAAACCGCCACCGCCACCGCCGCCGCCGCCACCCAGCCCCCTCACCTGCAGGCATTCGGAGGCCTGTCGGGGCTCAAACACCCTTATTTTGCCATCCTTGCAAACAGAGGCCAGCCGACGTCCGTCGGGGCTCCAGGCCAGGCTGAAGATCTGAAAGACACCCATCCGGTCTGAAAACGAAGCCCACCCCTCCGGGGTTGCTGAGGGGAGGGCTGTTCCCAGAGGGCTGGGCCCTCCCCATGGTCCAAAGGGGGGGGCACCTCTGAACAGAAAGCATCCCTGGGGAGCAGGAAAGATCGTGTTCCACTCGGCCACCGGCCACAGCCAGCCAGCCAGGGACAAGCCCCCCCCCACCGGTGTCACCATCTTCTCTGGCAGAAGAGGGAGGGGTCCGAAGCTGGGCCAAGCAGGAGATGACGGGCTTCCCTCCCTACCTGGTCCCGGTGCCCGTCCAGCTTCAGCTCCTGCCGCCCAGCGCGCACGTCCCAGACCCGGAGGCTCATGTCGTAGGAGGAAGAGGCCAGGATGTCTGAGGCCAGCGGGTGGAACTTGACCGAGTAGATCTTCTCCGTATGACCTTGGGAGACAGCAAGGAGAAGCAGGACATTGCCAGGAGCCCTCCTGGGTGCCGGCGTGGAGGTGGCGGCGGCGGCGGATGAATGGACCTCACGACCTCCGCCTTCAGAGCCCAGGAGCCCAGGTCAGAGGTCTGTCTGCAGGCTCCAGGGCTGAGGAGAGGGTCTCGGAGTCCCACCCCCAACCCACCCCCAGCATCCGAGCTGGGAGGGGTGTCTTCTCACCTTGGAGCACAATTTCGGGTTCCAGCAACATCTTCTGGAGGCCCCCCGGCTCGACCCGCCACAGTCGGATTTTGGCATCCTCTCCAGCTACACCAAGAAAGCAAAGGAATGAAGGGACCCCCGACGTTGGGGGTGGGGAGCGCGAGGCCTGAACGGTGGCAAACCGAGGGGAAGGGGGCTGTGGCTTGTACAGGGCACCTGGGAGACAG